CCTCATGAGAATCATTGGGAGAGATCGTGGAACCAACCGAGCTCATTTGGAAACTCAAGAGGGAAAAGCTCGTGGGAATCCAATGGAAACTTCAAGGGAAAATGACAAACACACCCTGGAGCAATCAGCCCAAGGAATTGACCAAAGAATTCACAAAGATTCCAAGCTGACCGAGCTCAAACTGAATCCACACAAGAACAAAAGACATCACCGTGTTTCGACACACAAGAGCTGATGAAAATGATGATGAAAGAGTTCTTCCAACGAAAGGAGGAGGATCGGAAGTGGGAAAAGAAAGAGAAACCAGATTCAGCCTGACTAGCAGCCGGAAGAGAAGGCAGCGACCAGCGGACCCAACCAGCCACAGAGAACAGCACTCCTTCACCTCACTCTCAGAGAACCGTAACCTCCATAACTTCAGACGGACAAGAAATCCTACCTGAACAACCCGCAAAACAGTCAGAAACTGACCCAACACCTGATGCGTCAGATCACAGCAGCGTCCAACAAACACCTTCTGACAAAACCACTCAAGTTCCTGAAAGTGCTGTCTTGGTCATCTGCCACTCCTCCGACGAACACCAGATCAGTCCTGATATCCTACCTGTCTCATCCCAAACTCCAGTCCCTCAACTTCTGGGCGACCTCATTGAGAAAGGTATAGCAAGAAAGTTTTACCTCTCCATCATCATTGAACGCCACATCAAAGTCGAAGCCCTTCTGGACACGGGAGCCGACATCACTCTAATGTCGACTGAACTCCTTGAAGAAGTCCAAGAAAGAACAAAGAGGTCTAATAGTACCCTCAAACTTCAAAGGTGCGAGCTGAACCTTCAAGCATACTCCCACACGGGCCTACAACTAAAACATATGGCCCCAATTCACCTAACTGTGGGACCAATGGACCTCGTTCACATAGTATACGTCTCACCACTCAACACGCATCCACTCCTCATTGGAAAAGACCTGCTTAATCGCTTTGAACCCTTAATAGACTTCAAGCACCTAAAGATATGGACGCAAGTCCGCGAGCCTCTGCCCTTCCAGTCAGTAGACTCCAACGAGTCGCAGTGTCAAACCACAGACACCGCCGCCAACTCACTGACTGATGATGCAATGTCAAAACCAGGGCCAGGGCCAAGCTCAACTCCAAGCAGCAAGAACCTGGACCCTTTCCTCTGCTCATTGCAGGCGCCTGACTCAGACTCAGGCCTCCTTCGAATCATGACTGCCATAAATGTCCACGACACATCAGTGTCCCCGACGCAGCATTAGCCCTGTGGGCGGAGAACTCAGCTATCAGCCTGAAGCTATTCAAGGAGGAGGATCGGAAGTGGGAAAAGAAAGAGAAACCAGAGTCAGCCTGACTAGCAGCCGGAAGAGAAGGCAGCGACCAGCTGACCCAACCAGCCACAGAGAACAGCACTCCTTCACCTCACTCTCAGAGAACCGTAACCACCCTAATTTCAGATGGACAAGAAATCCTACCTGAAAACCCAGCAACAGAGTTAGGCATTAACTCAACACCTGATGCGTCAGATCACAGCAGCGTCCAACAAACACCTGCTGACGAAACCACTCAAGTTCCTGAAAGTGCTGTCTTGGTCGTCTGCCACTCCTCCGAAGAACACCAGATCAGTCCTGACATCCT